CAGTAATGTGAGAGTATCTTCTAGAAAACAAGGTTGTCAGAGAGCTGGCAGGCCAGGGTAACTTTAGATCAGGGGTTGGCAAACTACCACCCAATCTAGCCCATGGCCTGTTTTTGAAAACAAAGTTTTATTGGAACACAACTATGCCCACTGGTTATGACCGTCTATGGGTGTTTTTGTGTTACAACAGCAAAACAGTTCCAACAGAGACCCTAGTGGCCCACAAGGCTCAAACTATTTACTGACTGGCCCTTTCTAGAAAAAGTATGCCAGCTCTGCAGTGTAGTTGCACAAATCCCTGCTGCTGGTTTCAGGCTTGCACATAAACTGTGGTTAGTATGTCAATGGCACTACTTGGCAGGTTTGCTCAGACTTTCGGGCCATCAGGATCCCTAAGGGAGCTTTGTAAGAATGCAGATTCCCTGGCTCTGCTCTCAGAGTTTGTGCTTCAGTACATCTGTGATTTTAACAAGTAGCCAGGAGAATTCTGATGTACTTGGAAAAATACTGGTCTTCCAGATGACTCCAGAATCCCTGGGAAACTTGTTAACTATTATGTTGCACTTTTATAAGGAAGGGCAAGGCCTTGATGAAGATTTCTATCAACGAGAGGAGGTGCAGTGTAGACCTTCAGAACACGTGCTTAGTCACAGACACGGGTTCTCAGCTCTCTGGGCATTAGTCCCCTCAACTATATAAAGCAGTTGAAAATAATCACCTATTTAACAGGGTTATAAAGAGTAAATAAGGTCTGGTACAGTGGCTCACTGCCTATAATCCCAACACTTTGGTTGATTTTTTTTTTTTTGGCCGGGGCTAGGTTTGAACCTGCCACCTCTGGTGTATGGGGCCGGTGCCTTACTCCTTTGAGCCACAGGCACTGCCCAATCCCAACACTCTGGGAGGCCAACGTGGGATGACTGCTTGAGTCTAGGAGTTCAAGACCAGGGCAACATAGCAAGACCCTATCTCTACAAAAAATAAAAAAATACCTGGGTGTGGTGGCATATACCAGGAGTCTCAGCTACTTGGGAGTCTGAGGCAAGAGGATCATCACTTGAGCCTAAGAGTCTGAGGTTATAGTGAACTATCATCCACTGTATTCTAGCCTGAGTGAGAGAGGGAGACCCTGCCTCTTAAAAATAAATAAATCAAAAAAAGCAGACAGGGTGGCGCCTGTGGCTAAATGAGTAGGGTGCCGGCCCCATGTACCAAGGGTGGTGGGTTCAAACCCAGCCCCAGATGAATTGCAAAAAAAAA